TATTTATCTTCATCTTCCATCGCCGCGTCTCCTTTCGGGTCGCAGAGGCAGACGCGTCAGGCAGAGCTTCCAAAGTTGCCGATCCGGTGCCAGAGTCTGAGCTTCGACAGAAGGCAACTGGAGTCTGGGACAGACTCCTTTTATATATTTGCACCAGTCTAATCTTGGCCGTCCTTTGGGGCTTTTGCCGGTCGGATTTGCAAGGAACAGTTGCTTAGCTTTCCTTTCTTGAGGCATTCGCAACACTTGCCCAAGCCATCGCAGCTGTGACTTCTCAATCTGGAGGAGCAAAGGCTGTATACTAAGGCTCTTCTGGATATCAGTATTCTGGACCATGTCGATACGCGCAAGGCCAGCGACTACTCTAAGAACACCCATTTCAGCAGCTTGTACCCGGGTTCCAAGCTTTTCACTCATGGTCCACGACTCATGGCAATAGGTAAGCATGAGGATACAGATCGACTTGAACACACTGGGGGTTAAGTTTTCAGACTGAGCTCTGCTTTAGTCACAGTGGATTGGGCTAGTTCATGCGGAACGTCACTGGCTACTCCAATTCACCGGTCGATCTCTTCCTCCAGTTTTCCATCACTAGTAAATGTAATTCCGAGGTACTTAAATTTCTCCACCTGCTCCATTACCTCTCCGTTGACCTGAAGAGATCAGCATGAGGAAAACGGGAATGCACTAGGTTTTTCGTTTTAGATGCGTTCACACGCATGGGGTCACGTCGCACTCTGCTGCGAACCTTTGTAGAGAGCACTGAAGATCAGTTTCAGAAGAGGCTAATGAAACAAGGTCGTCTGCAACAAGGTTCTCCAACAAATTATTACCCGAATGTATTTGTTTTTTGGCAGTTGAAACAGTAGTAGATTATCTCATCTGAGGTTTTGATCCTCTCAGAATTCTGCATGATAGCTCTGATGTTTGATGTAGGTACACCCAGAGCACAGCCCACACCCAATTGGCGTTCGCTTGATTCTGGGGGCTTGAAAACTTTCATTTTAATTTCCAGCGGTGTAGTAGATTTCCTCCATTTTTACTTCAAGACGTCTAACGTAGTCACTTGCACATCTTTTGCCAGTCATTATGGGTAAAAGATTTTCATCAAAACGTAAAGAAGCAATCATGCGCAGAGACCATGTAAAGAATCAAATAACAGTTTTGTTGCACATCGCGCAATTGACGTGGACGATGCTCTACCTCGGAGCGATTAAAACATTCAGTGGCGTCGCTTCATGCGTTCTAGAACAAAAATTGTGACTGGTATTTGGGCTGCAATAGAAATATTTTTTGCCACTTAAAGGTTTCGCCTATATCTTTTCTCGGCAATATGCCAAAATTTGTTGTTCTGCATGCATTTGTTCGATCTAAAGTTTAGAAACGAAGGATAAACATCGTAGAAAACGTGAACTTCGTTGCATAATGAAGAATAAATTGTAGGAAAAGAAAGGAATGGAAAATTTGTCACCATTGGAATGTTGATCTTCCTTCACTTTCATGATTCGGTTACTTTAGCGCCCTTCTTTTCATGAAGTTGATGGTGCGATGCTGATCTCCGTTTCTATGCCATCAGCCAGCACTGCCTTATTCTTTTAGAACAGTCTACAGCCACGCAGCAAATGTAGCCTGTAGTCTTCTGTTTCCTTCCCAAAGAGTGGTACGCATTTAAAAATGTCGAAAGACGGGAGAGTGATCACTACAGGGGTTTGAACTCGGTTCCTATCAGTTCTCAGTTCGGCGCTCTGCCTACGGAGCAAACCCGGTCTGAAGCAATACGTGGTAAATTCCTTGCTCAAAGGAATTCGTGGATAAGACGTAGATCTTCCTCGAGCGGAATCGAACCCTGCACCTCTGGAACTCGAAGAAGACCTCATAGCCAACGATGCCGACACATCGCAGAAAAATGCTAGGGCTGTGTAAAGAATAGCTCTGTTCTCTACTGTTCACGTTTCTTTGGTAGATGCGACTGTCAAGAAAACGAGGTTGGTTCAGTTATAAAATGTGGTGGAACATAAACTGTTTACTTCAGCACGTCAGCTCCTAACATGGAAGTCAGAACACGATAGACGTTGTACAGGAGATTAGCTAGCAGCATGCAACATAGATGAACGAGTACAGCCGGTTCCAATCTGTGTTCGGTTAGCAGTTATTCCTTCTGTGACGTACGCAGGGTGGCAGAAATGTTGGAATGCTGAGGATGCAGTGGATACATCGAAAGCCGGACATATTCTGCTAATGCAAAGAATTAAAAGTGTCACCCGCACCACCTTCACCTTACTTGAGCTGTTAAGCAGTTTGCACAAACTGTTTAAGCATTTTCGATTTACGAATTTTCACCTTTTATGGAACGAAATGCGTTCGTAAATCAAGGGACAGGTCATTATCATTATCAACCTCTGTAAATTCACTACTGGATAAAGGCTTCTCCCAGACTTTTCCTCAGACTTCTGATTTCTGCAGTTTTTATCTATTTTGATTCAGCGATTCGGAGATGTATCTCTGCGCTGTTTAGTGTCTTTTGGAACAGTGGTCGGTTCTTCTTGCAGCGTGACAATTACATTGCCACTTTATCTTTTGCACTCAGGAATGACACGGGCATTGTTTGTGTTCTGACCCATTCATTTGTCTTCTTTTTTTATCTTGTTTCTATCAGACATCTTTCCATGCTGCCATGCGTAGTCCGCAGTTTGCGTGAATATCATTCAAACGAAGGGTGCACGTTTCATATCCATGAATTGGCGCCGGGATTACAGACTGATCGAATTCTTTCCGTTTCAAGCACAAGGACAGTTTCCTGGATAAAGTTATTTTCGCTTTTTCAAAGGTGTCCCATGTCACTTTTTTTGATTTCACATGGTCGGTTTTTCATTGCAGAAATAAGCTTTAAGAGAAAGGCGTAGTTTTACACATCTTAAGGCTTACACTTCAGCAAGTGGCGCGGTCATGTATTTGTTAAACTTGATGTGAATTTTCTTAGGCTACATTTTCTTAGGTGCTTCTTAGGTGCCATTTTGATGCTGGCGTCGTTCAGCTGTTCGAATCTTTTTTAGAGTTTTTCTTGTGACCTTGATAGAGTCACAATATCGTCCTCAAACTGCAGGTGGTTTAAGCAGTGTACATTCATGTTCAGCAACTGATTTTTCCATCGAAGTGTACTGAAGACCTCTTTTAGAGTTGTTCTGAATGATTTCAGTGATAATACATCTGTCTATCTCTCATCTCTCTTCTACCCTTTTTGATTTTGACATCCTTGTGATTGCGTGAGGCTTCACACTCCAAGTTGCATTTTTTTAAATCACGAGGATGAGATACCCGTGTCTTTTCTCGATTCTCTGGCCCACCAAAGAACTCAATATAGAACGAATGTAGACGGCTAAAGTCGCCTAAAGCCTTCTCAAAATCGACGAATTCCAGGCAGAGAGGATGCAAATATTCATTGCTTGACTCAATTACTTTTAGTACCATCTAGAAATGGTTCATAATATTAAATCCACTTCAGAATCCTGCTTGCTCTCTTGGCCTGACAGAGTCCAGTCTTTCTTGAAGTCTGTTGGCCAGTGCATTCGTGCAGACCTTGTGTATCAATGGATATGTGCAATAGATGGCAAATATAGATAACGTTGTTTTAGAAATTTAATACTTGTAGTGACGTTTTGTCAGAGGCATCACGAAGAGAAATAAGTTGTATCAGTTTGCATCAAATAAGTTGTATCAGTTTGCATCAAAAGCTTCAGATTAATGTGTTCTTGCAAAGAAGTTTTCAAGGACTTCGCAGTGGTTTTAGATTAAACTTTACAAACATCAGTCTATTTAAATAATTTTTTTCATTTAATCATTAAACGTTTAGTTTAGAATCAGGAAGTGCGAGACCACTCTTAAGTTAAGAATAAAATACGCAACTATCTTGCTTCTCGAGAGGACGAGCCAGTTGTGAGTACTTGTCCTGCCGTTTATTAGGTGATGGGTTCTGTTTCGGTGTTGAAGTAGTGGTTTTGGTATTTGACTGAAAGACTTGAATTTAACATTTTTCTGTTATGCAAGAGATTAGTTCCATGATTTTCATGTTTCTTACGGGATTGCTCTGCATATTGATTTGGTTGCTGTAATTATCGACGTTCAAGCAATGCTTAGTTCATTGTCAGGGTACCTTTACAGAAGAATTCATTGGAATGACATTCTCTTGCCTGAAAATTACTTTCTCAGAATAGAACATGAACAGTAACAAACGACAAGATGATGACTATGTAGATGAGATTTGGGCTGTTACTTGGTGAACACAATTGCATTGCTCGTTTGTGAGGATGACTGGAAGGGAGTAAAGTCGATATTATTTTTAAACGTGTCCCCGTCTAAATTGCTGGAATAGTGGCGACGTTTGTCTCTACTGAACTTCTGAGTATCTTCGTAAGAAGAAGGAGAAAAAGATGAACGGGAGTAGCAGAAGAAGAAAAATAAAACAGAAAAGAGTTCGATTCTGAAGCGTTCTGAATCAGTGTGCGTTGTCATTACTACTATGGTCACCGGATAGAGGACAAGGCGGAAATAAGCTGTGAGGTCGGAAAACGTACGTAATTCGTTCGCGGGATTTTCCTGTTCTATTTTCAGCGTAACATCGAAGTTAAATAGTATTCCGCCGAAAGTTTATTAGCGATTCGTTTGTCATGTCGGGGTTTTTGTCATCTGTCACAGTTAGGCGGCATTATTTCTTGTCTGTGCATTTTTAATGAACTAGTTTTATTTTTCATCTTTTTTCCGTTCTGTTTCTGTTTCTTGTTAGCGTGTTAAATCTGCACAGATTTCTAGAAAGAATAAGGTCTTTTCTGGTTTGCTAGGATTATTGCAGAACAGCGGTACGGGGTTTCATTAGATTCATATTATTTTAACAAGAGGATTTCGTGGATCATTTAAGACCAGGGCATTTTTGCGTAGCCTTCCCAGTGTAAAGCCTGTTTTGTGCCATCGCCACGTTTACTATAAAACATTTCATCCACGATCCTCCACGATGAAGAAGCCGGCCTTCCTTGTTCGTTTGTCAGTGTTCATTTATGAATTCCTTGTATGATTGTAATTACATATGATTTAGCTCGACGCACGACGTAAGCTACGTGGTGGCTTTTTTTGATTTTTGACTCATGCTGAACATCGATTAGTTGTTCATATCGTTATAATGGTAGCTTGCCGATTCTAATAGATGTTTAAGCCAGACTTGTTTACTGTTTTACTACCTGGATTTTATTAAAGTTTGAAATGCATGCGACTTAGGGCATTAAAAGTTTAAAGATCTTTCAAACTTTCTTTCAGGTGTCAGTGATTCTGCTCATTGTATTAAATTCGGAATATGACCGTTAATTTAATTAGGTTATATGTTATCTGTCCTCATTTTTTATTTCAGTCACACTGCATGAAATATGATGAGTAGCATACACAACACTTCTATTCGAACCTTCTACCAAGAATTAGGGAGCAGCAGGACTTTTCTTAAAATCCTGTCTGTCCTTTGCAGGGTCGACCAGCTGCATTTCATCCACCTTGATTGCTTCATCATTTGGCTTCTGTGGGCGCCGATGGTCTCTGTTCACTGCTCCGAGGGCACTGATCACTACAGGAATGACTCCTCTCTTTATTCTCTAGATCTTTTGTATTTCCATTTCCAATTCTTAATAATTAAATATCTTTTCTTTCCCATTTACATTAACGTTTCCGTCATCCGAGCATGCTATATGTAATATTTTGCGAATCTGTTTGCGATTTGTATCGCTTTATTGACGATACTAATATTTTCAAGGACGGTAAAGGTGTGGACCCGACGAGATCTAGGCAAGTACTGGCCAAGCGCGAAATACACATTACCGGGTATGTCGTCGCGAATTCCAATGCGACTGCTCTTTACTTATTTCTTTATTACTGTCTGCAATCTGGTTGTTATTGTCTTGTAGCCGATGGCACGTGCGGGGTGTACAGCGAACAGATGCGGCGGCTGTTCATCGGCATGGCAAACGGCGTCATCACAGAGCTGATCGTATCTAACGACTGCAACAAGCTGTCTAATATCCGCGAATACCCCTGTAAGACCGTCAACGAGTGTCGCATTATTGACCTTGTTCTTGTTCGCACGTTTAGTTCACCCGGGCAGCGTGCACTGCCGCTCTGGCCGCCGTCTTCTTCTCCATTACATGCGAGCTGCTTTTGAGTACCGGTAAAGATAATTCGTTCGTCTGGCAGTGCTCTGAAACCGGCAAACGACTTGGCAGCCTGAACACCGGAGTACTTTGCTCAACCATCGAGTAGGTACCGTTGCGTGTATTCGGTGTGGCGTGACGATAGATCAGTGTGATACCAGGTATGCACAGTCGGTAGAGCGTCAATTTACAGCTGAGAGGACTTAGATTCGACCCCTGTCGGAAAAATTTACCTTTCTTCCTACCGAGGGTAATAAATAAGTAACACTCATAAGGAAATAGCAGACTGCACATTGTGCTTGCCACATAGCTGCTGTCGACCCTGCCTTTAAAATAAGGCACTCCTGGCTAATTGCATCGAAATTGAGATCACGCCTTTTCATTATCTTCTTGTAAAGAAGGACCACCAAAAATGGCTCTGACATGAAAGTGTATGGAAGAACAATATTCCAACGGTTACCAAGAACCAACAGCTTCCCTTTACTTACTTCGGTGTGATAGTTTCTGGGTTCCTTGCATGGCCATCCTGACAAAGTTTATGCAGTAAAATTTTGATCACCTGTTGGTCACTGCGTGTCTCTGAGTCTCTGTAAAGAAACCGCTAATCCATCAAGATAGTATAACAGCCTACAGTAAAATGTGGTTACAAATGAAATTTTAATTCTAAATTTCGGTACGGTTCAAATTTTCATTTAAATTTGGGAGAGACTGAACATATTTCATGAAGCATTTTTTGAATAATTCGAAAAACGTTCTCCTACTGCGTAAAATTTAGTAATGACAAAACTTGGTCGTTTGCTCGTAATATCGGTGCATTAGATCCTCAATAATACGAACCATATGAACTGCTAATGGCCCTGGTATTGTGAGGTGACTGCGAAATGTAGCAGTTTTCGATATCGCCTATCAGGACAGTATCCTCTGTCTTCGCTGGATTTACACGGCGTAATTGTTCCGTCCCATTGATTCTAGATACCTATGAAACCTTTTCACCAGGCCACGATTCCATGGTTTTTGAGCACCTGAAGGGCTTAACCGCTCTGCTGCATTTCGGCTTTGGGTCGAACGAATGTGCTCGAACATCAGCTGAATTGTTCAACGAAATGGCT